GAGGCGGAGGGCAGCTGGCATGGCGGCCTACCTCACCCACCAGCAGAAGGTGCTGCGGCTGTATAAGAAATCCCTGCGGCACCTGGAGTCCTGGTGTATCCACCGGTGAGCGGCGAGGGCCTGGGGAGGGGGCTGTTCTTCCGAGGAGCAGCACCTCTCCGCTCCTGGGCGGGGCGCGGCCTTCCTCCCTGGGACGGGGCGTTGGGCCTAGCGGGGGCTTTGTCCCCTTTCTTGCCCCCAGTCATGGTTGAGGAGGTGAGGAAAATGCCTCTGGGTCGCTTGTCTGTGCCTGACACAGAAAAGGGCGATATGGAAACAGCTCCTCAGGGCCCCTGGCCAAGCCCCGTCTTTGGGCAGGGGTGACTGGTGATGTTGCTGAGCTCGTTTCTGTGTGCGATTAGTTTTTCCTTCCAGGTATGTTACTGTGCTTAGCCTTTGTCCACAGGGACAAGTACCGCTACTTTGCCTGTCTGCTGAGAGAGCGATTTGATAAGAACAAGGATGTGAAGGACATGGTGAAAGCGACAGAGCTGCTGAAGGCAGGCGAGGAGGAGTTCTGGGCAAACCAGCATCCTCAGCCGTACATCTTCCCCGACTCCCCCGGGGGCACTTCCTATGAGAGATACGAGTGCTACAAGGTAAGGTGGTCGGTAAAGTTGTGTATTACTCTGCTTACCTCTGTTTTTTTGGTGAAAGTGGACTTTCATAGGGCTGCAGCTTGACTCAGCAGTATCATTTCTCTAGTTAACTGCTGCTGAACGTTTCGCTGCTTGCGTGGGAGAATCTGTCCTGCTTCTCTGGTCGGTGAAAATGGAATTTGCTGGTCCGTCTGAGGACAGCTAGCTTCCTTTGCTGGGATAATCACCTGCTCTTTTGCCAAAAGGAAGCTGCGCTGTGCTGGGTGAGGTGGACACAGTGAAAGGGTTGGAGCTGAGCCATGGGAGTAAACAAAGCAGAGGAATCCATGCTGCCTGTTGTGGTGCTGTCTGGTCACAGCCTTGGTTTCTCTCTGGTCTTGTCAGATGTTGGATTGGCTGTTGGGGACTTCACTCAGTCCTGTCATTCTGCCAATGTTTTGAGTAATGGTACAAATCTATTTCCCTTCATGTGGTGTAGTGCCAGTTACGTGTTTGTGCGTCACTGTGTGATGGACAGCATGCTTGAAAACAGAAGCAGTATTCTTGGACTCTAAGGCATATCTAGAGGCTTCCCCCTCCCCCTAGATTGTTCTATTTCAGAGTAAAGAAACAGGTTTCCTAAAAAACACAGGGTTTAGCTTTCTTGGCATCAGCTGCCGACACACTACAAGAAATTAATGCTGACCTAGAGAGTGCACGTGCCTGCTTTCTCCTGAATTTGAAGAAGGTGTGTCCACAAGACTAGATCTGATCAGATCTTCATACACAGAAGCCTTGTGAAAGTAAGAATGAGACATAGATTTATCAGAGGCAGAAGAAAGAACATGGGGATGAAGAGGGAAGAGGAGGACTTCAACTTTTGTCAAGGTCATGGGCCTTAGCAGTAATGGAGATAATAGTGAGAGAATCCAGGCAGAAAAAAGGCCGGTTCAGTGATAAATGGTGAAGATTAGTCTCCATATAGAAATACAAAATGAAGAAAGGCTGAGAGAGTTGGGCTTGTTCAGCCTGGAAAAGAGAAGGCTCTGGGGAGACCTTATTGCAGCCTTCCAGTACCTGAAGGGGCTACAAGGAAGCTGGGGGGGCCTTTTTACAAGGGCCTGTAGTGACAGGACAAGGGGTAATGGGTTTAAATTGAAAGTGGGGAGGTTTAGATTAGATATCAGGAAGAAGTTCTTCCCGGAGCGGGTGGTGAGGCACTGGAACAGGTTGCCCAGAGAAGCTGTGGATGCCCCATCCCTGGAAGGGTTCAAGGCCAGGCTGGATGAGGCTTTGAGCAACCTGGTCTAGTGTGAGGTGTCCCTGACCATGGCAGGGGGTTGGAACTAGGTGGTCTTTGAGGGCCCTTCCAACCCAAACCATTCCATGGTTCTATGAGCTGTTCGCATTCTCTCTTCTTTACCCTGTTTGATATGTTAAACTGTCCAATAAATGGCTGTCACAGGCATTTGGCTTTTTGCTGTATCAGAGACTGTCCATTGTGGATGCTGCTACAAAATGTAATTTTTAGATCTTGACCTATTGGATGGTTTTAATTGTTTGGTGTGTGTGGAATTTTTGTATATATCAGCAGCTCTGCTATTTCTCTTCAGTCAAAGGTTTACTCAGTGATGAGAATCACAGCAGGAAACTGGAATTGTAAATGTCACTGTTGATGTGACAATAAATGATGTTATTGGAGCAGCTTCTTAATTTTCTTTTTTTAAGAATTTGGGTGGTTTTGTATGATTTTGGTTTGTTTAATCATTGTTCTTGTCTTTAAAATGTTAGCATCCACTGATACGCTGCTGCAAAATTTAAAATCTTGCTCTTTTTTCCTTGAGTGGACGTCTTGGAGGTTAGACCATCATCAATGTCTTAAAGGTCTCTAATTTTTAAGTAGTTGTAGACAAGTGGGAATGAGATTTGGGGTTCTGTCTCTGTCGGAGAAAATGAATTAGTAGTTGGAGAGTTCTGCTGCCTTTGGGAGAAATGAGATCTCTTCCACTAGAAGGAATTGTTTTGAGAGCTCTAGAGGAAATGGAGATGACTTGGGATTTGTCTCTGGGATCTGGTGATTGAAGCCAGTGGCTGTGATGTCATCTCGTGACTGATAACGTGTGAAACAGAGGAGAAGTGCTGACCTCTGCCATGTGCTGCCTCGGAACTGACGACACAGTCAGGTGGCTCTTAAACGGTGGTTTTATGTAGTAGTTTATTTCCTGGGTTCTGTATCCGTTTCAATACTGGCTTCAGTGGTGGCGTTTGGTTCTTGTGTGTGATTAAGCATGTGAAAATAACGTACGTGAAACATTTCCTTACTTGACAGCTTCCTGAATGGTGCTTGGATTACTGGCATCCCTCCGAGAAGGCCATGTATCCCGATTACTTCGCCAAACGAGCGCAGTGGAAGAAGCTGCAGCGGGAAAGCTGGGATAAAGAGGTCAGTGCTTGCTCGGCGCATGCGAGTAGTTCGTGTCGCCCTTAGACGCGTTTGTGGAAAACAGCCGAGGGCCTGCGGCCGTCTCACCGAGACCCCGCTTCATCGGCACCCTCGTCAGCGGGAAACGCTGGCTTGCCCTGAAGTGCCCAGTTGCAACTTCGTGAAGGGAATTGGAAGTTAAAGCTGAAGCTGCAACCGCGTTCCAGTTAGTGCAGGGCTGCTGCAGCAGCTTTGCTGCCAGAGACTCCGAAGGGGGATGAGGTTAGCGACCGGGGAGTTCCTCTGCCGCTGCGACACCCTGACTCTTCCTGGTTGCGCCTCTGAAAGTCACTTACCGCAGCGTCCCTCGTCTGGGGGTCGAGAGCGACTTCTGGCCAACCTAAACTGGGATTCGGTTGGAAAAAGTTGATGTTCTTGGAACGGTTCTTGAGTTCGGTTGTAGAGAAGGGGCCGGGTTGTCTGTTAACGGAGTGGCAGCCCGCACCCGTGCTGTTTCAAGGACACGTGCTGAGGGCATCCGAAGGGCTGCTGGTGGCACACCGAAGTAGGGGTCACCGGCTCACCGGGGTGGGTGTTCTTTAGGACTTGTAACCACCCGTCAGCTTTCAGAGCGGCAGGAGAACGCCGCCTGTTCAATGCTACCGTGGTGGACACGCGTTGTGTGGAAATAATGACCTTTTAAGTAAAATGTCGCATGTAAGTATGGTTTACACCTAAAATTTCCTCCTTACTTCGGCAATAGGAGCCTGTGATGCTTGCCGAGCTTAAGTGGATCCTGGGAAACACGGAACCCTCGGCCGAAGGGGTCGCTGCGGAACCGGGGGCCGGTTTCGCCTCCCGCCTGGGCACTGGGCGCGCGTTACGGAAACGTGCGTGCGTGCTAACGCAGCTTTGTCTTGCCTCCTAGGTTAAGCAGTTGGAAGAAGAAACTCCAGCTGATGGTCCGCAGACCGAAGCTTTGCCTCCGGCTCGTAAGGAAGGGCACCTGCCACCCCTGTGGTGGCATTACGTCACAAGGCCACGTGAAATCCCCATGTAAAGCGCTGCTTCGCGCTGGAATTCAAGCGGCCTGTCCGCTGGACCCAGTAGGCGCGTCCATGACTGCATGCTACTCCTAGTCACACAAAATAAAGCCAAGTAAAGTACGGTGGGCGGCGTTTCTCCGACATCCCGTTCTTCTACAGCACACCCAGGCTGGAAGCGCGTGCAGTGTAGGGTGGGCGAGCGTTAACGTTGGTGCTCCGTACCAGAAGCGGCGGGCGCTGACCAGCCCGGGGAGTCGTACTGGAGCAGGATCTCCAGAGCAGGTTTCCTGAAGGCGAACGTGTATTGCAGCTTTCACAGGAAATCTCGGAGCCTGAGCTGGCGTTCCCAGAGAGGGGTGTTAGGGGTAGGAGAAGCAGAGGCCCTGGGGGCTGGGTGGGGTGGTGGGCGGTAAAGGGAGAGTGAGGCCCTGTGGGCAGCGCCAGCCTGTCACTGGGGAGAGCCGGGGGGAGGGGATGGAAACTGCTGAGCGGGTTGCGTCAGCCTGGTCGCTTGGAACGTGGCACCAGGTACAGGGGAGGGGCTGTGTGCCCGTGCTGCCGTCCGGGGTGAAACACTGACAGCAACAGCCACGGGCTTTGGATGCTGCTGGGGGGAGGGAGCTTCTAACCTTGCGGGGGGGAAAGGCACCTCGCCCTCCCTCCCCACCTCCTTAGGCGTTTGGCTGTGCTTTCCCCTTTGGTACCAAACCTAGGCCTTCCTTCCGCTGCTGTACGGCACCAGAGCTCACCCCCGCCTAAACCCCATCCCAGAAAACGAGCACTCCGTCAGTTAACCTGCGGAGGCTCGCGGCTCTCGTAGGCCCACTCGTGGGTCACAGAGGTTCTCACAGGCCCTGCGATGCGATGGACGAGGTGCAAATGCCGTTCCTGAAGTCATGATGGAATCCCCAGAATGCTTCCACTAAGCTCCCAGTGGCAGGCGAGGTGGGATACAGCCACCTTGTAAAAGCTCAAGCCCCCCCGCCTCTTCTGTTCTCCCACTTTTAGGGCTAGAAGAGAGGAGATTTGGGCTACTTAGATTAAGGACTTCTATTCCCTGGGAGCTGTTTGTACCATATTCAGCCCTAAGGCTTAATGTCTCCGTGAGCGCCAGCTCAAGGTTGAACACCCCATCACCACGGGCAAGCCCACTTT